GACGTAGCCATTCATGGCTCCGGTGAGTGGTACGCGAAGGTGCTCCTCCTGTTTCACATTGGGCATGGGAGGGATCGTTGCGACTATGCGTTTATCAAGTACTACGACGCACTTCCAGAGCCAGACGAGAAGACCCACTGCAAGCAGCTCAAGTGGGCTGCAATGAATCAGAGATATCGGGTGGTAGAGACGACGAGTATACTGCGTGCCGTCCACCTTGTGCAGCCCCAAGCTAGTGAACCTTTGTGGTTGTTGAACCATTTTATATTTTGAAGCGTCATGTCATGTAGTTGTACATATTTGATCAAGCATATACAAGACATGCTCCCATAGTTTGCACCACACATCATGAATAATCATGTTATAGTTTTGTTGAGCTATTCCCCATATTTAAAACATCCATAGTGTAGTGCAGATCACAAACAATGCGCCACTTTTGTGAGTTCTATAATGCGCCACATGGCGGGACCCCTCGAACCGGTCGCTGTGACCACAAAATAGATTCTCTTTGCAGCTCGGGGTGCATTTGTGCAGAACGTTCGATGGTGCGCGGGCCGAGGGATTCGCCAGAATTCGAATCGTGGTTCGCGGTACAGCCTGCGACTCGCACTAGTCTGCGATTCGCACGATTCTCCAACGCATTGCTTCATGGTTTGAACAACCAATGAAATCAGTTCGTTAGGTGTGTTGAATCGGCATATATGACTGCTTGTGCGACGGATCAATCGTCGCACACAGTTTTCCAACCAATCCCCCCAATCGTTCCCGCACGCTCAGCATGGCCAATCAGCTCGCTGCCACCGGTGCCCCCCTAACCCAGGCCCGCGTCAATCAGGCTCAAGTTCCCGGTCGTCCTCAACGCCAACTCACGACTTCAGTTCGCCTGGCTGGTCACGACACTAGTGGTTACAAGCCACCAACGAAGAAGACTGGGGGGTCCAGCACTCGCTAGGGTGCTGGTAACAAAGAAATTCCTCGCAACCCTGAGCTGCAAGAAATGTCTCGTGAAGATCTTGCTGCACTGAGGGACAGGCTGAACGCGGAGTTGCAGCGACAAGAAGCCAGCACTGCACACCAGTCACTTCCCGACCCAAACATTGCAGAAACAGCCGCGGAGGAGGAGTCTAACAAAAATCCCGCAACAGCAGATGTTGCCGCCAATACGTCTCAGCCTGACGCCGATCCGGAGGATAACCAACTCAACGCTCTAATCGACAAGGGCGAAGGTCTTGGCGAGGGTGAGGAGCAGGACGAGGGTGAGGGACATCCAGACGAGTGCGAGTTAGCCGAAACTCCCGTTGTACTGCCTCAGGACGATCCGGCCGAGGATGACCGTCCTGAGAGCCGAAGGCGCAGCGCCGATGTCGCTGGCCTCATGGGCGCTGACCCAGCGGCTCACGCGTCAGCACGTGGGAAAAAGCCGAAGCAACCAGGTTAGTAACTTCTGTCCGGTTTCTGTATTTTTGCAAATTGACGTTTGTGCCACATAGTTTCGTCCAGGCAACCTACTAACCTACTTTTTTATGTTCTTCCATTTTGTTTTTTACCTTGCAGCTCGACCGATTCCGGTTAATGAGCAGGTGGCACAGAACCGCGACATGGAGCGGACGATTGCGCAACAGGCCGACACACTCGCGGCCCTCCGTCAGCAGCTGGAAGAACAGGAACAGGAGGCTGCACGAATGCGAGCAGTCGTTGCTGCCCACCAGCCGCCTGCCCCAGCAACGGGAGGTAGCCCCGGCCCATCATCTTCCAACAGCCGGAGTACCGGAGCTGGCGCTGGTTTGCTGCACGCAACTGCGCAGCGCAGCAGCCCGCCCTCGACCACCAACGCGCCTGGGCCATCGACGGCTCCAGACGTGCAGGAGGGTGCGGCAATCCCCCCTGTGCTTCTGGACCTATCATTTTTCAAGGTTAGTGTGCTGGGTTTTTAAAGTTCGTACTGTTGACTTTGTATCTCTCGTTGACTGACTGACTCGTTTTTAATTCTAACAAATGCCTATTCTTCGTTGTCGTCGTTATGTGCAGCAAAAGTGCAACGACGCGGTCAACTGCTTCATAGCGGGAGCTCCAGCGAGAGAGCAGTCATTTTACCCCTCCCTGGCACAGCTTAGGCGCAAAGTGCAGGAGCTGTACGAGGACGTCGGGGTGCCACTTGACATGTTCATCCGGGTGATGGCGGAGAATCCCGAGCGCGAGCGCATCATGCTGCAGAAGATGTCGGAGCGCCGTTGCAACATCTACGCGGTGGTTAAGCCTTACGCGCATGGCCCTGGTGGCTATATCACCGAGAACAAAGTCGCGATGCTTGCGAGCGAGAACATTGCGCCATCGCGTCGCCGCACGCCTGCAGAGTGGCACGCCCACTTTCGGGATGGTGAGTTTTTTTTTTTTTGTAGCGCTTACTAGCAACAACACCCCTACAGTCTAAAACTCCCGTCCCGTTTAGTCCTGGCAGCTCTGTATGGTTCGAATTGGCACTGTGACGGATCTGGCCGCCCTTTTGCCAGCCGACCGTTCGAGCTCGCCATCTGCAAAGGACTTGGCGGCAAGCGCTGCAACCGCTTCAACGTCAAGATCCCTGCTGTGGCAACAATTTGCCATGTGGTAAGTCGTTTTTCTTTTCCTGTTGGTCATTATTTTTTCAATACATATTAGATATGCACTCATGCCTTTGTGGTTTCCTGCAGGTGGAGTGGCCTATGGCAAACCACAATGGTCGTGCAAACCCCTCCCTGGATGCCTCTGATGAGAATAACAGGGCCGCCGTGGCTGCAAAGGTTCTTGTTGTCATCTCTTGGATCAAGGCCCGGCTCGAAGCACGCGAAGCTGTTTACTCTGATGAAGCTCCTGCAGGTTTTGTTATGGGCAGTGGAGCTGTGAAAATCCTCATCGAAGGATTTGAGTTTGCATTTGAAGGACTTGTGTAGGGCTACCGCAAGGTTGCTCTGTAGGATAGGTAGCGTTCTGACTCTATGTGTGCCTTCTAATGTAACTGTTTTATGAGAAATATAACGATTAATTCGGGTACTGTTTACTGGATGGGTGGTAAATGAATAGGTATGCGAATAAATTCTGTCTCCTTACATAAGGATAATCAACCTGTCCATGACAGTATAGTTTGGGCCAATGTAACACCATTTATGACAGACTTGAATAATGGCACGGCAATTAATAGGGATTTTTGTGCCTCCAATAAGCAGGCAATTATTGCACGCCTTTAACAATCGATAAACTGTGGGCCAGTTTCTAGACATTTGCATGCCATATACAGCCATGAACAAGCATTGAGGTGTACCTGAATATTGGCGTAAACAGCCATTCCGCGCGATACACAGGCGGGGAATTTACGGACCCTAAATGCCTACGAACCTGCCTGTATACAGCCCGCCAGTTTCGGGCCATAAACCTGCCATACAGAGGGCGATTATGGCTTTAAATTGCCATTCTTAAGGTCGAATTTTTTGAGATGTTGCTGAGTTAGTTGCCTGCTCGCAAGTACTGTAACGATCAGCAACTCACCAACCCTTCCGCAAGACTTAAAAACTTATAATATGTGTTCAGGTGCCAACTCTGACGATGTGCTTTCATTGTGACGGACAAGAATGCCTCGCCGTGACGTTAGGTGTTGGTGTTCAAGCTTCAATAATCGTGGGATAACGGTGCTGGCACATGAATGTGCCGCAGAAAACAATTGCTCGATTGCTAGCGCAACTATTTTGGCTTCACGCGATATGTTTGCCAGCAATGGTTTCGGTAAAGGTTGACAACAGACCGTCCGAATCCTCTGACAACAAACTATCCGTGAAAAGCTCTCAGCAATCAGCCTCACCGCAACAAAGGGCGCGTGTGGTCTTACAAATTTGTGAAAGTCTATGTTTTTGAGTCGAATGTACCATTTGAACAAAACTCGACTTTCTTTCCAGCGAAGTTCGAATCTTGGGTCTCCAACACAGACGAGTCACAATCACACACCCAAGGTCGAACACAGAGATTCGACCTTTTAGGGATGGCGGCGAGCCGCCCGTAGGGGAGTAGGTTACCTGGTACAGCGCGACACGTTAACGCAATGCGCAACGAAGCTCAACGACATTCGCAAAGTGGTCACGATTTTCGGGTGGCCTTCGTACGTGCTGAAAACAACACACACTCGCCTCACGTGCACCCGCACGTTCACTCGTGTGATTCGAGTTGAGTTCACATTTGACATTCGAACTTATGTGCCCCAAAATTCTCATGCCTTCGCCAAAGCTTCCTGACGACATTAGCGTCGGTGGTAACCACACAAAGGTCGACCTTTTTTCCGAACTTGAAAAAAGATCACACGCACCCTAATACAGTACCACAAGCCCAATCCCAGATTACCTCATCCCACCAGTCAGCTTGCCTCACCACCACGCTCGTCGCATGCACACCGCCCAAGCCTCGCAAACCGACTTCGTGAAGTTGCACTCGCACAGTGTTACCAGCAGAGAGATTCTGATCTGAAGTGGTGGAACTTTGCTAGGCGACACGCAAGCTTCGTGTGGTCCACACACATATCCCCCTAGCTTCTCATCCAATCAGATTGCACGCCACGTCACAGAGACCTGATTACCACAATTTTTTAAACATCGTGATTTCGTGGCGGTCGCAACCTTCATCGCACAACCGCTCCAAACAAGCAAAACCACTCTGGTGCAACCACACCGACACCACACACAAAACACCATCAGGTGGTAACCAGGGCCCTCGCCATTGGCTGAGCCCTGATTGCGCTGTGGGGAAAACGAGATCCCCGAGCGTCGGAAGCCTGGGAAAAACGCGGTTCGTACTCAAAAATGGCATCCAGTCAGAACGCTCCTAGGCACATCCGTAATTCCATCCAACCAGTTCCCCCCACACGCAATTTTCATTCATATTTCATAAGAACTTCAGCAATCAGCAGAAGCAGAAGCTCGTTTCCAGTTTCCCTTATTTCAGCTCTCAAACAGCTTCCCTTCCCAGCCCAGACATCCATCATGGCTGCCCTCGCCAACGCCGCCGTGCTCCCCTCCACCTTCGTCGGCCAGAGCGCTGAGCTCGCCGCCAAGGTCAACAATGTCGAGGCTCGCGTCACCATGAGGAAGACCGCTAAGGCCTCCTCCAGCAGCGCCTTTTACGGCCCCGACCGCAACCTGTTCCTGGGCCCCTTCAGCTCCCCCCCGTCGTACCTCACCGGCGAGTACCCCGGTGACTACGGCTGGGACACCGCTGGTCTGTCCGCTGACCCCGAGACCTTCGCCAAGAACCGGGAGCTTGAGGTAAGCCTACCGGAATTGTCTCGAACAGCACAAATGAGGCACATTTCGCATGCAAGAACTTGAACCAATCCTTTTAAATGTCTCAAAACAAAATCTTGCATTTTTTTCGATATTCTCTCACCGTCGATGCGTTACAACGCTCACTGTTTCAAGGTTCTGACGGAATCAACCATTCTCTCCCCTGTTTCCTCGAATCTTCAGGTCATCCACGCTCGGTGGGCTCTCCTCGGTGCCCTGGGCTGCCTCACCCCCGAGCTGCTCGCTGGCAACGGCGTGAACTTCGGCGAGGCCGTGTGGTTCAAGGCCGGCGCTCAGATCTTCTCGGAGGGTGGCCTTGACTACCTGGGCAACCCCAGCCTCATCCACGCGCAGTCCATCCTGGCCATCTGGGCCACCCAGGTCATCCTGATGGGTGCCGTTGAGAGCTACCGCGTGGGTGGCCTCGAGGGCTTCCAAGAGGTTGAGGACCCCCTGTACCCCGGCGGTGCCTTCGACCCCCTTGGTCTGGCCGACGTGAGAAACTGAATGAACAGGAATGAGTGAACTATGAATGAAGGCAGTACAAATATGAAACCCTAACTGGGTTGTACCCCCTATGGGATACCCCACTACAGCCTACACAATAGTATAAGCTATAGATATGTTCTGACACACCCCCATAGGCAAAGTGGGGGAGAACAAGGGGTCACAAGACCAGTCAAGCAAAGCAAAGCAAAGCAAGCTCGGGGTGGATCACAAAGTCACCACGCATTCCGAGCACAAGTTCAAAGGCCAGACGGCCAGCTCACATGCAAGATCATATATAGAGATATAGAAGAGTCAAGCAAGCAAGAGCAAGAGTATATATAGGCGAAGGTACAAGCAAGGTCAAGAGGAGAGCAAGTGAGGCAAGACAGGCACAAGACCCAACTGCGTGCAACAACGCTGATGATCACAAGGCGCAAGTGCCTTGGTGAAGACATCAGCAGTATTGGCCTCAGAGGCCACGTACGCAAGTCGCAAATGTCCACGCTGCTGTAGCTCACGAGCAAGAAAGTAGCGGAGAGCAATGTGCTTCGTTCTGTGCTCCAGACGCTGCTCTCGACACAAGGCCAGCATGGCCTTGTTGTCTACGTACAGGACTGGAGGAGAACGAGGCTGCTCTCCAAGGTCGGTCAGCAGGTAGGTGAGCCAGCGTAACTCCTGCGCAGCCATAGCCCCAGCGTAGATCTCAGCCTCACAACTGGAGCCGAGAACAGAAGACGAGCGGGTAGCCCGCCACGAGACAGAGCCGGAACCAAGGCTGAAGGTGTAACCCTGTGACGACCGCTGCGTAGCCTGGTCGTCAGCCCAAGAAGCGTCTGCGTGCCCAGTGAGGACCACTGGACTGCGCCCTCCAAGCACTAGCCCCATGCCCGACGTACTGCACAAGTAGCGCAACACCCTCTTCGCTGCAGCCATGTGCTCTGGTCGGTGTCTCCCAGGAGCAACAAAGCGTGCGAGAATGCTAAGAGGGTATGCGAGGTCAGGTCGTGTGCAGGTCATCAGGTACATGAGGCAGCCAACAAGCTCTGCAAACGGACCACTCGACTCTACGGACTCATCCGAAGGCAGAGCTGAGAGCGAGTGGCGAGTAGGCAGAGGAGTGGCCTGAGGCGAGGAGTACGTGAAGCCGAAGCGCTGAAGGACCTGCTGCACCATGTGTGACTGAGTCAGGGTAATGGTGCGGCGTGCTCTGTCCCGGGTGATCTGCAAGCCAAGGTAGCTACGCAGTTCACCCAGGTCAGTGCACGTGTGTCTCTTCTGCAGCTCGGACTTCACGTAGGCGAGTCCAGCAGTGTCAGCTGTGGCAAAGACCAAGTCGTCGACGTACACGAGGATGTAGAACGGTGGCAGAGAGGTGTCGGTGCGCAGAAACAGCGACGGGTCGGCAGTAGAAGGAGCAAACCCAAGTGCCGCGAGTGTAGTCCTCAGTGTGTCGTGCCACTCACGTGGCGCCTGGCGGAGACCGTAGACTGGACGCCGGAGACTCCACTGGGTACCAGGAGGGAAAGACCCAGTGAAGCCAGGTGGGCGACGCAGCCAGATCTCCTCGTGCAGGCTGCCCTGCAAGAAAGCTGTGCTGAAGTCGAGAGAGTGCAGCTCGTAGTCGCGGTGAGCAGCAACGTGCAGCAGAACCCGAAGAGTGGTCATCTTCGGGGTGGGGGAGAAGGTCTGAAAGTAGTCAACCCCCTGCCGCTGACTGAAGCCACGAGCCACGTAACGCGCCTTGAAGACAGGCGGAGAACCCGGCGGCCGCTTCACCCTGAAAATCCACATGCCACTGACGATGTTCGCCCCAGGAGGGGGAACAGCATCAACGTAGGTGCCTGTGGACTTCCAGGAAGCCATCTCTGCATCCATAGCTGCCTGCCACTGAGAGGAGTAGGGACCCTCTATCGCCTCCGCGTAAGAGCGCGGAGTCGGGATGTCTAGTGCATCCGGGTCTCCCTCAGGGGCTAGCTGTACAGACGCGAGACGAGGTGAAGCAGCGGCTAGACACTGGAACTCCTCCTGCCTGTCCTCAAGGACGTCAGTGCCAAGGGCACACTCACCCCCGACGGACGGAGGACAGGCGGACTCAGACTCAGTGACAAGACGAGCAGCGTAGTCTAGACGACAGCGCGCAGCAAAGTCGACAAGCTCAGTGACAAGGGCAGACGCAGCAGACGACTCGAAGGAAGGGTCAGTGACAGCAGTAGCAAGGAGACGCGTGACAGTAGGACTGGCAGCACGAAGAGAGTCCGACTCCGGGTCGGCAAGAGCAGGAAGAGAGGAAGCAGGAGGAGAAGGCAAAGGGGCACGTAGAGGAGCAGTGGACGGACGCAGTGACATCCGGTGCGTGCCAGGGACAGGAGGAGGACGCTGACGCGACCCGCGACCACTAGCGCGCTCAGTACGAACAGGCGACGCAGGACGAGACGCAGGCTCACGACGCTCAGTAAGACCTCCAGTCGGACCAGCGTAGGGAGAAGGAGCAGGCAAAGGGGAGGCATGCTGTAGCTGTGGCTGTGGCCGGACAGGCTGCGGACCCTCTAAGGGAGGAGGAGGAGGTGCAAGACCAAGAACCTGCTGCAGGAGCGGAACGAAGTACGGTCGGGGCCGCGCGGCGACGCCAGAAACAGCAGGAACAGCACCAGCAGGCCCGTCAGGAGCACCCACTCCAGCAGCACCTCCAGCAGAACCACCAGAAGCTCCAGAACCTCCAGCAGCAGCACCAGGAGTACTGTCAGACGGACCTCCAACCGCAGGCTCAGCGCCAACACCCTCAGCAGTACCAGCTCCAGAAGAGCTCTCAGACCCAGCAGCTCCAGCACCCACAGTACGAGCACCGCCAGGACGCGTGGCAGCAGTACCCTCTGCAGCCGAAGAACCACCAGCACCAGCAGCACGCCTCCAGCGCCGGGCAAACCACTCACGCAGCTCCTGTGAGGAGAGTGGCTCCCGGCGAGACGAAGCACCCCCAGGCACAGCACCCCTAGGCTCAGCACCCCCAGGAACAGCACCCCCAGGCTCAACACCCCCAGGCTCAGCACCCCCAGGCTCAGCACCCCCAGGCGCAGCACCCCCAGGAACAGCACCCCCAGGCACAGCACCCCCAGGCTCGACACCTCCAGGCTCAGCACCCCCAGGCACAGCACCCCCAGGCTCAGCACCCCCAGACTCCGCACCCCCAGGCTCAGCTCCCGCAGCAGCACCAGAGTCACCAGTGACCTCGACAGGCTCAACCGCGTCTACCTGGGACACACCTGAAGGGGCAGGACCCTGAGGGGGGGAGGGGGACTACCGGGGGGGGACCTGGTACCAAGAAGAGCGGGGGTGGGGGGAGGGACGGAGTGCGGTAGGGGAAGAGGCGGTAGTAGGGTACCGACTCGTCGAACGTGACGTCCTGGGAGGACAGAACACGTCGAGAGGTGGGGTGGTAAAACTGCCACCCAGGGGCGTCGGGGGGGAACCCCAGGAAGACGCAGGGAGAAGCACGAGGGGACAGCTTGTCCGCAGACAGGTCGCGAACAAACGCCCGAGATCCCCAGACCCGGAACGCCGACGCATCGCCAACCTTCCCCGTCCCACAGCAGAGCTGGGGAGGTCTCCGGTCGAGAGGACCCTGGGGTGGAGGTTGATCTGGTGCGCAACGTACCTGACCGCAAACGGCCACAGAAAAATGGGGAGCAGCCGCATGCATCATGGACGTACGAGCGACGTCCATGACCATGCCAATGCGGCGCTCAGCAATCCCATTCTGCTGTGGTGAGTCCGGAAGCGTGAAGGTCTGACGGATGCCTCGCACACGACAGTAGGCACTCAGGAGGGCAGAGGAGAACTCTCCGCCTCTGTCCGAGTGCAGACGCAAAACAGGGAAGTCAGAGCCAAAGCTCCTCCGAAGCTGGAGACGAGCTGCGCGGATCCAGTCGATCAACACCTCAGTGACCTCACCCTTGCTGCGCAAGGGGAAGACTGTGGTGTAACGCGAGTAGTCGTCAACCACCAGCAGGAAGTAGCGCTCCTGACCCTGGCCACGGACGCGGGCTGGGCCCCACACGTCCATGTGAAGCGTCTGCAACGGGGCCTCTGTCGGAGGAAACTGGGAGGAGTGAGGGGCAGCACGCTGGCGCCCCTCGACACAGGGGACACAGGCAGGGCCAGGGCCCGGAGGGAGGGGAGGGAGGGACCGGGGAAGACCAGACACAAGGACTCGCGAGGCCATGCCTCTGAGCCGAAGCAGAGAGGGGTGGCCAAGGCGGTGGTGCCAGAGGAGGGTCTCGTGAGACAGACGACGACACGAACAGGGGCAGACTCAGGACCAGACCTGGACGCTGCAGCAAACACCTGACCAGACAAAGGGACCCTACCAGACGCAAGTACCTGGAGGAGAAGCAGTGGTCAGTGTGTACAGGCTCGACCCTGGCCGACGTGTAAACGTAGCCAGGTGGCGACCTGTATCCGCCTCCGTGCAGTGGGTCACCCGCTGACGAGCAGGGGTGAACTGGTGGACACCCGCATCCTGAAGGTCAGCACCACTCACCAAGTTCGTCGAGAACGAGGGGAGGTAGAGACCAGTCAGGGTGCCAGAGGGGGGCCGCCGGACACGGGAGGACAGTGGAGAAGCGAGACAGGACAGGCCCCCCAGAGGGGTCAGCCAGGGACACCGCAACAGGCCGACTCAGCGGCGTGAGAGTGGTGCGGTCCCTAAAGAAGGAGCGAGACGCTTCAGAGTCAAGGGTGAAGGTGTGAGAGGCCCAAGCCGACACAGTACCTGAGAGGGCGGACTCACCAGTACCTGAGAGCACAGACGCACTGGCACCTAGAGCAGCAGCCTCACTAGTACCTGACGCGGCAAGTACCAATGCCCTGGTCGGGCGGGAAAACACCGGTAACAGTCATCCCTCATCACTACCAGTCACAGCATACATAGCAGAGAGAATAGCATCAAAGTCAAGATCATAAATAGCTACACCAAGCCCTAGACAGCTCTCCCAGCGGGGGATCTCAGCGGCCTCCGGAAA